TGACTCCAGAGGGGAAGTGTAAATTCTTCTCTGCTGTTTTCCCAAGGAAAATTCATCAGGGCTCAGCAGCAGCCTCCAGATTCACCAGTCCAGTCAGTGCTTTTCTCTCTCTCTTTTTTTAACTGACTCCAGCGAACAGTAACACAATCCTCGACGAAAATCTATGTTAAGGGGTGTTTGCTTGTATCTGTTCCTTGGCTGTGAGTGACAAACTCTCAGAAAGCAGTAAAAGCTCAGTAGGAGCTGCTGTAAATGCAAGATTTCCTGCTGTTCACTTGGTGTTCTTGTGCTTAACAGCAGGAGCGACTCTGCCAAGTGCTTTGTTCTTATTGTCTGGGAAATGCCGTTGGCTTAATTGCTTAACTCTGCTGTTGGGAGTAGCAAGGGGGTAGGAAAGGGACTGAAAATTGTCAGGCAGTGTAGAGCCCTCCTCCGTGTGACCGAAATTCAGGGTAATTGTTGTTGTTTTTGAATCGGTTCTTTCCTCTGTTAAGCAGAAGGTGCCCGAGAGACCTCTCCTGGTGTTATTTCTGTAACGAGGCAGTGAAGGTTGGGCAAACTTCAGGCTCTAAAGAACCCTTTGGGAGGGGAAGGGGAGCTCCTGAGGAGACCCTTTCTGATCTTTGTGTGTACAATGCCCTGCAGGAAACCCAGCACTCCTGTCTGCCTCTTCAGACCTGGCACTTCCTGATGCCTTTTGTGTCTTGGTGGATCCACTAACACTTATTTTCTGTTTTTGCTCTTCTAAGGCCGTTGGAATTGTCAGTATTGTAAGAATCTGCAAAAACATCCTCTGAGGAAAATGCCCTGCTGGCTGTTTGGGTGTGTTACCTGGGTTTTAGCAACAGGGGTGCTCAGAGCAGGGCGTGTTTGGGTCTCCAGAGTGGGCTTTGGGTGTGAGAGGGGATTGTGCAAGAGAAAGAATTCTTGCATTACTCCTTTGCTGAGGTTTTGTTTCTTCCAGTTCAGAATCTGGGCCGTCCCTACTGGCTGACCCTGGCTCCCATGTACATCTGGATCCTGATTTTCTTCAGCCAGCCCCACAAAGAAGAGAGATTTCTCTTCCCCATCTACCCCCTCATCTGTCTCTCTGCTGCTGTGGCTCTCTCTGCTCTTCAGGTAAATTCTAGTGTTTTTTAATAAATAGCTGGGACTATTTCCCAGCCATTATTTCATCATGAGTTTGAGTTGTTCTCCAGTCCCAAGTGGCAATTCCTGGAGTTGTGATGCTGTAGTGCCAACACCACCCAAAATCCGAGAGATTCCCTGAGGGTTCAGGAAGCTGCTGATGGAATTGTGCCTCCTTGGCTGCTCAGCTTTAGGGGCAGGAATGTGGCTGTGTAGGAAATGCATTTTGATGTGTTTCAGAAGGAATCCCTCACTGGGTTGAAAAAAAGGCAAAGGGATCTCATTTAAATGTTGGGAATTGCATCGAACATTTGGAAGAGCCAAAACCTGGATGTTTAGTAAACATCACTTGAAACACTTCACGGAGCAAAGCACTAATACAGGCTGATATAAACCTTCCCAAAGCTCAGAATTATTCATCTCCTGCTGTTAAAAAGGCTCAGGAATGCAGCCAGGAGCCTGTTCCAGCTGTTTGGCCTCATCCTGCTGTTGCTGCTGTGTCCTGCTGGAATTCCTGCTCACCCTCCATCCCTCATCCTTGCTTTGCTCCGTTGCTGTTCTCTCCCTGGATTTCCATTCACTCCCAGATGAGTTCCAGTCCTTGCCTTCCAGCTTGGAATGTCACCAATTTTCTGGCTCTGACTGGGAATTCCTCTGTGCTCTCAGAACATCACAGAGCAATGTTAATTTATTTTGATTGTAAATATGGCTTTAGGAAAGTTTTGTGTACATTTCTTGCATATTTTGCCACTGTTTGATGATGTTTTGCCCAGTTTTGGAGCATCCAGCTGAGAATCTGGAACTGATTGCCCACCAGCAGGACAAGCATGTCACTGTCCCCCTCCAAACTAAGTGGATGTTATGAGAAAAATGCAAACAGGACAAGAGAAACAGAAACCAGCTGAGAGCAGGGAGTGAATAACCACTCCTGCAGCACAGGAGGGAGGGACCAAGCCGAGGACTGGATCTATTTCCTCCTGGCTATTCCCAGAAAGGCTTTTTAATTGAAAAAAAAACCCCAAACCTAAAGGACTTTTATCAGTTTTTTTTCTTTTATCAATTTTTCTTTTATCAAATTTTTCTTTTATCAAATTTTTCTTTTATCAGTTTTTCTTTTTATCAATTATTCTTTTTATCAATTTTTTCTTTTTATCAGTTTCAGAGTGACTTGTGTTTAAAGCTGGATGCAGAATGTGCTCTGTGGTGTTTTACCCACTTCAAAGCTGTGGTTTGTGCAGGCAGGGTAAACAACCAGAGGTCACTCTGGAAATCTGGGTCATGGAGCTTGTGTTAGGCAGGAATTCAGTCCAGCATGGAAAATCAGGTGAGTCTGTGCAGGGAATTTCTGCAGCTCTCTGAAAGGGACCCCTGGTTCACCTGGGAGCAACCAAACGGAGCCCCTGAAGAGCACTTTAGGTCCAGAGGCTTTCCTAAGGAAAAAAGCTGAAATACCCCAAATTATCACTTCAGTATGACTAAACCCTCTGAGTTTCTGTGTATTTTGGTGGCTCTGAATTAAAAAAACCCGAAGATCTGGTGGGGGATGCACTGTTGTAAGGACTTTATGAAAAATTAGGATTTTGCTGAATGGCTGGAGCCCTCGGGAAAGCAATTTGCGTAGAGACCTTCCTATGGAAAAGAGCTGAAATACCCCAAATTATCACTTAAATATGCTGAAATACCCCAAATTATCACTTAAATACGACTAAACCCTCTGAGTCTCTGTGTATTTGGATACACAGAAGTATTTTGTGTATTTGGCTCTGAGTTTAAAAAGCTCAAAGATCTGGTGGGGGATGCACTGTTGGAAGAGCTGTATGAAAAATGAGAATTTTGCTGAACGGATCAGTGTTGTAAGAACTTAATGAAAAATGAGAATTTCGCTGAATGGATCAGAGTTGGAGTAACTTCATATTGTCTCTTTTTTTTTTTAATCTCTTCCCTGAGAAATGTTACCACTTCATCTTCCAGCGCTACCGCCTGGAGCACTACACAGTGTCCTCCAACTGGCTGGCCCTGGGGACTGTCTTCCTCTTTGGCCTTTTGTCACTGTCACGCTCTGTTGCCTTATTCAAAGGTTGGTATTTCAGCTTTGCCCTCTGCTCTCCTGCCTCTTGGGCTCAGGGCCTGCAAAAATTCTGCTGTACAAATCAGGAACCTCGAGAAGTTTGGGTGTTGTTGTTGCAGGAGAAGGAATAAGTTCTGATGGTCACCAGGAATTAATTATTAATTATACATTTATTCATATATCTGTATGAATGAATTGCATTGCTTAAAAATCTTCACCTTCCACCAGTAAACTCCATTGATCTAAAACCTGACTGGTATTAAAGCAGATATTTCAGCTTTCAAGTAGATAATCCCACTTGGAAAAGCATTTTCCTGTGTAAAACTTGAATTAGGTGCATGAGTCCTTGATGGAGATGGGTTGGACATTCCTGGAATCAGAGCCTTCCCACCTCATCAATATTTTTGGGGGGTTTTGGTGGCCATTGACAGCCCGGACAGGGAAATGTGAATAAAATTGGTAGGGACACCACGGGTAAGAGGGGAAGCTTTGAATCCATCCACTTCTTAGCATTGTTCATTTATTCAGTGAGTTACCAGTTAAACATTTATACATGAACCAATTTTTGTAGGCTTTCCTTCAACCTTAATGATGCTGTTGTGCCTCCCACAGGCTACCACGGGCCCCTGGACCTGTACCCGGAATTCCACAGGATTGCCACTGACCCCAGCATCCACACGGTGCCAGAGGGGAGGCCAGTCCACGTCTGTGTGGGCAAGGAGTGGCACAGGTTCCCCAGCAGCTTCCTCCTGCCAGACAAGTGAGTGCCCCCGTCCCAGAGGTGCAATTAGGCGAGATGGATAACGAGGGGCACAATAATGAGGGGCAGAATAACGGGGAGCCCTCAGGAGCTCAGTGTCATAAGCAGTGTTAAAGTGTCCAAATAAAGGATGCTGGAGGTTTTTCATCAGCACACTTGGTTGTTATTAGACATGAAATGAGTACACAGAAGCTTGGTAAGTTTAAAAGAGAAAAAGAGCTAATTTTGGTTTTGATTTTGCAATAGAGTATTGTAAATGCAGGCAAACCCAATGGGCAGAAATGAGGATGTCTGACTCAATTCAGAAGGCTGAATGATTTCTTTATTATAACTATGCTAAAACACATTAATATACTATATAAAAGGAGGATACTAAAACTATATACCACTTTCTCCGACTCCAACTCTAACACAACTCATGACCCTCTCTGAGAGCCCAGCCCCAGGCAGGCTGGGTTGGCCACCAGGCTCAAACAATCCTCACCAGAATCCAACCAAGCATCACCCCAGGGAAACAATTCTCCACACACATTCCACATGGGAAAAACAAGGAGCAGAAATAGAAATAGATTTCTCTTCCATTTCTCTCTGTGCACCTCTATGAAAAATCCTGAGAGGGAGAGAAATGTGCTTGGCACAACAGAGTTCCAAAAGTGACAGTGGATGGGAGGATGGAATTACCACCTCTCCAACCACACTGGTCAAACCAACAGTCCATCAATTCTCTCCTCCCACAAAGAAGAATGTAAAACAATCATTATTGGCATGAACAGTGTGTGAGAACTCCAGAAATACGTAAACATCAGGAGGCATAGAAAACTTTTAAGAGAACCTTAACATTTTCAAAAGAACTATAACAGAAAACTTTTAAAAACCAGGGTAACACACACTGGCCACAAGTTCCTGGGAATGTCTGGGAATGATGTGCTTGGGTCTGGTTTTGGTGCTCTCCCCACAGAGTGTTTTCCCTGCTCTCTGCAGCTGGCAGCTCCAGTTCATCCTGTCGGAATTCCGGGGCCAGCTGCCCAAACCCTTTGCCAAGGGGCCCATGGCCACAAGGAGCATCCCCACGGACATGAACGACCAGAACAAGGAGGAGCCCTCTCGATATGTGAGGATTTATTCTGCTTTCTTTCCCTTACCTCGCCTGATAATTTCAATTCATGCAATGCCTCAGAGTGGATCTCCCCATTTCTGTTTCCTGGGAGTTCCAAAGCAAAATTGGTCCCTCTGCAGCACTTGGAAATCTCCCCATTCTTGTGAGTGGCTTCTGTTTGCCTTTCATCTGCCAGTTTGAAGACATAATGGTAATAAAAGAAGCAGCAGAAGTAAGAGCTCCTAATTATTGCAGTTTTGGGTTTAGTGTAGTGTGTTAATGTGATCACAGGAATGAGTAATTTGAAGTCCCCCACAGAAAATATTTGTCACTGAGCGGGAATTGAAATTTTCCTCTTTTATTTCTTTTTAAATATATAACTATTCATCACATTTTCAACTGAGGAGGAGGAACTTAATTTGGAACTTAATTGCATTAGTGGGAATCAGCTTAGATAATGTATATTGGTATTACTGATTTATTTCCTGGTTGAACTAAACAAAACCAGTGCACAGATAGGAATGCCTTAAAATTATTGCTAGCTAGCATGTTTAAAATTACTAACAGGTTCAATCTTGGCAGTCTTCTGGGTTAAAACTCTTATTTTGAGACTCATTATGCAGTTACTGGAAATGGGAAGGAGGCGTGTTCCCACCTGAGAGGAGCTGTCTGCTGCAGTGCATTTAATTTATGAAATCTTGAACTGGGGCTTATTTTTAGCACAGACAGCTGGCTGCTACAGCCTGTGACTAATAGAGCAAAGCACACTTTTGTTTCATGCTTGCTCCTTAATGTCACCCTACAACTTTGTTATTTCTCATGCAAGCTCAAGGGCCTAGCTCTTCAAAAAATTAAACAGGGGCTTAAAACTCTTACTTTTGACCTGCTAATTACACCAAGAGATTGAGATCTTTCCCCAGATTTAGTGAGTACAAGCATATTCAGATTTTTTAAAAAGCAGAAGAATAATTTAGCAAGGACTAGACAGGACTGTGAGAGGGGATAAATCTAAATATTTGCACGAGGCTGTTGATCATTTAAAGGGGAGAAAACAAATGGTTCAGGAGGATTATCTGAGCCATGGATAAAACCAGTTATTGGCTGTAGATCTCACTGTTTCAGGTGTAAGTGTCTATTACTGCTCTGCTTGGAAATGGAAGAGGGAACCTCAGTGTTCCTGTTGCTATGAGACTCTGGGGAAAGAGTGATTTGGTCTTGTTTTGCAATCTCTCTTTCCTTGAGCACATTGAGCTGCACTTACCTTGCACTTGCCCGGCTGGGGAGGTGCATTTGTCTCTGAAAGTGCTAAGAAAGAGATAAGGAATATTATTTCTTACCAAGAACATCCAAGTAGGAGCAGCAGATCAGGCCTGAAAGCTGTTAACAGCAGCTGCCTTCAGAGGAAGGGGTTTTTATGCACTTTCTCTTCACTTCTGACACCCTCCAGACCCCATGGCAGCAGCAGATGTGCCCTTAGCTCCAGCTCTGGGCTGTTCCCACTCCTGTCAGTCAGGATGGGATCCAATTTAGCTCTCCTCCACTTGGCAGAGCTGTGGTATCAAATAAAGAAAGAGTGGGAGGAGGAAAAGGAAAGGGGAACAGAAGAGGAGAGGATGTAATTTAGAAATCCCTCGCAGCTTTGCTCACTAAGACTCATTCCTCTCTTTCATTTCAAGGTCTGTGCATCACCCAAGTCTTGTGTAAATCCCAAAATCAATGCAGAGGTGCCGGAGAGCACCTGGTCCTCAGAGCAGGAGGAATATCATCCTTGGCTTCACTAAGTATGAAGATATTAGGGAAACATGGCTTGCACCTGGAATTTGGAGTCCCAGCCCTTTTAGGGCAGCATTTAGAATGAGACAAGTGAGGTCCTTGAGGCAGCAACTTGTCTTTCTCTGAATGATTCTACATCACTTCCAGAAAAACTTGGTTAGTGGTTTGGGAGTCCTTCTGCTAATGAGCCAGAGCCTCTCCCAGGGCCTGGAATGTTCCTCTCCCACAGAGCAAAAAGTGGATTCAGCATCCTCAGCTGCGTTTCCTGTGGTGTAATTTCATTTGCCACTCAGTTGTGATGCCACAGAGCCATCTGCTATCCACCTAATTAAATTGTTTTCAGGCTAAATTGTTACATTAAACCCCAAAGGTGCTTCAGAAAAGGGATCTCAAGCGTGGCCGAGGAAGTTGGCAGTAAAATTTTGTGGGAGAGTGAGCTGGAATCCCTCAAGGAAGAGTTTGAGGGAGTAAGGCAGGATAAGACATAGGAGTCCCAGCAGGAAGGAGGAGGTTTCATAATGTGCTCTCCTGCTGGATTCCCCCACAAAGATTCTTCTTGAAAACCTTCAAATTACGTTACCTGTGTCCTGCACGAGGCATTTCACCTGCTGCTGGGAATGCAGCCCTGCTCTGACTGCTGGGACCAAACCCCAGGAAATGAAGGCCAGCACTGTCTGTCTTCCCACAGATTGACATCTCCAAATGCCACTACCTGGTGGACCTGGACACAGCAACGGAGAGCCCGAGGGAGCCAAGGTACTCCTCCAACAAAGAAGAGTGGCTGACCATTGCCTACAAGCCATTCCTTGATGCTTCCAGGTAGGATTTGCACTTTGGAGAGGGAAGGATGGGGCCTGGCTGGCTGGCTGGGATTTCTGTTTGCAAAAGTGGCCAGGGAGGAGAGACCCATGAGCAAATCCAGCTTGAAATCCAATTCCCAGCAAAGTGGAGCCTTTGTCAAACTCCTGCTTGCAAAATTTATGACCTAAGTTGCTGGAGAGGGTGAAACTCCATGAGGAGGGTGGCGAGAAGGAATATTTTTATAAAGAAATAAAGAATTTCTTTATAAAGCTTCCCGATGAAGCAATGTTTTTTTGGGGTTGCTTTCCAAAGAAATGAGGTGGATGTCACCTCCTCCCAGGAGACTTCTCACTCTGTTTTGTCCCAGCCAAATTCAACACAAGTATAAATCATCAGAGGGCACGAGCTCTGAAGAATTTTATGAAAGCTGGCAGAGAGAGGAGGCAGTCAGCAGGGCCACACCTTCATTAGGCACCAGAAAATCCATGGAAGAGATCCCTGCTGGGGTTTGTTCTGCAGAGGTTGTGCTGCTCACTGCACACCTTGCTGGAGTGTGAGGTAGAGATTGGGATTTGCTCTCCTCCAGGCTGTCAGGGAGTGGGATCAGGGTTGTCAAACTGGGAACGTTGTTCCTACATCCCTGCAAATACAGGAACCCTCCTCAGCTGTGCAAGGATCTGATTTAGCCCTTCAGAGCTCTGCTCATGAAGGTGTCACCCCAGGACAGAGCCTGGAAAAAACTCTGTACGAAACAAACCCAGAGTTCAGTGCCCTCCTGAGGAGGTGGCCAATGAATTTTCTTAATGATGCATCAAAGGCACTCCTTGTACAGAGGATTTGCCCTTAAATGTGCATTTCTGCTTCACAGCCACGTTGGTGTGTTCTTACAGCTGCTTTATCTCGCTTGCTTTATCTTTTGAGGTTTCAGGTTTGCAGCTCAGTGGTTGCAGAGCAAGGGGTAAAAAAAAACCAAACCCAAACCCATCAAGCACCTCCCCAGCTCAGCCCAAAGTGCAGCTCTTGTGTGAAAATAAATGAAATAAATGCAATCAGTGACCCCAGCAGCTCGGTTCAGTCCTGCTGCACTGGAGGCTTTTGGGGCTCGCTGCGAGTCTCCCATTGACGTCAGCAAGTGCAAATGTAAATCTCAGCTGGCTCTGATAAATGGTGCTGCTAATTGAATTAGAGAGCACTCCAAGCCACCAGCTAATTATGCTCCTCAGGAAGCTGCTTTGCCAAGGTCCATTTAATTCTATATTGGCTGAGCGCTCCGAATCTGGCACAGAAAAGGGGAAATATATCACAGCTCCCCTCTGAGGAGCACATATTTTCCAGCTCTTTAGGGCTGAGCTGTCTGCTTGCTCCAAACACTTGGGTTTTCCATCAAAAAAAAAAATAATTTGCAGTGCAAAATTAATGATTGGGTCACCTTGTTAGAGCATAGCATTACCCTGCTTTGATAAGAGGCTGTCTTGTTCCCTTTAATGGTGTTTTCCTCCAGTTGTTTTCCATATTTTTGTTTTTAAAGTAGCTGAATTACTTCTGAAATGTGTGTGTTGGTAGAGAATATAACCTCCAGAGGAAGTGCAAACACTAAATGGTTTTTGGAGAGCTTTGATCATGAGCTTCCTGTGGCTGGAAGGTACTGGGACCCACCCAGGTGACACTAGGACCTGCTCAGGTGGCACTGGGACCTGCCCCTGTGACTGGAACCTGCCCAGGTGGCACTGGGACCCATCCCTGTGGCACTGGGATGTGACCAGGTGGCTCTGGGACCTGCCCAGGTGGCACTGGGACCCATCCCTGTGGCACTGGGACCTGCCCAGGTGGCACTGGGACCTGCCCAGGTGGCTCTGGGGTCTGTCCCTGTGGCACTGGGACCTGCCCAGGTGGCTCTGTGGCAGAGTTCACCTTCCTCCTCCATTCCCTGCTCTCCTGCCTCTCTCTGAGCTCTGCCCTCACCAAACTCAGATTTCAAAATGCACTTTTAGGAGGGATCTCTCACCACTGCAGGTGTCCAAGTGCTGCCATTCCATCTCAGTCCGGCAATTTGGGAAATGGGCTCTGGAGCATCTTCACTTGGGGTTTCCTTCCATCCTCTGGCACTGCTGGAGCGGTTTTTGAGTTGCTTCTCCTGAAATTCAGGTTTAGCTCAAGGATCGCTGTGGTTCCATCTCGGGTGACTGGGATCTGCTCTGTGCTGCAGCAGTGCCTCCTTCAGAGCCCAAAACCCCTGGAAAAGCATCCCCTGCTCAGCCAGCTTGGAGCAGCCATGGCCTGACCTGCTGCTGGGAGCTGAGTGCTGATTCAGGCTCCACACACTCCGTCTCTGGGGGACAAATTTAGCAGCAAATGCAAATAGAACATTAAATATATTCCCTGTCATCTGTCACCCAGCCCCTTCCGTGTGCCATCTGCTGTCTGAGGTGGCTGAGCTGACACACAGAGGTGACAGGAGGTGAAGGTTCCTCTCAGAGCTGGGAGGGGACCCTGAGGGTGCAGGAGCTGCCAGCTGAGCCCAGCCAGGCTGTGCAGGAGCCCCTGGGGAGATGCAGCTCCCAGTGGCTGTTCCTGCCTTTGTTTTTCAGCTGTGTTTTTGAAAGATCTCCAGTGCAAGCAAACAAAACACAATTCGTCTTTCTGCTGAAAAAAAATCGCTAGAATTGGATGTCCAGAAATACAATTCACCTTTCTGCTGAAAATTGGATGTCCAGAAACACAATTTGCCTTTCTGCTGAAAAAAAATCGCTTGAATTGGATGTCCAGAGCAGCAGAGGTGGGGGCTGAAGTGACCAGCAAGAGTGTGCCATCCCTGAGCACTCATAATCCAAATCTGAGAGCTGCTGCTGCTGCTTTTCCAGGTTTTCTGTCGCTGGGGTGACACTGGTGGCTGGCAAGGGTTGATATTTTCCCATCCAGGTGATCTTAAAGACATAAAAAGAGAAGCTGAGGAAGCAAAACTCTGCCTCAACCCCGATTTCAATGCGTTGCTCAGATTTTTGAAGCTTCACAAAGCTCAGCTGGTGCTGAAGGACGTTTTATTTGTCCACTTCACATTGAAACCCGGAGTGTACCATTAGTGAGAGAATACATTCATTCAGAATTCTCTCAGCCAGCACAGCTCCAGCAATTAGCAACCCAATCAAAGGTGCTAATTTCACCCAGACATCATTAAGCCCTCCGTGCTCCACTGGTCCAGTTTTTGAAAGGCTGAGAAATGCCAGCTCCCAGCAGTGCCAGGGCACGGGGAGTGTAGGTTTTAGAGCTGCCCAGCCCTCTGTAATTCAATATTTCCACAGAAGATCGGCTCAAAAGCCACACTTCAAAATGCCAGTGCCCCTCGAGGCTGCTTTTTGATTCTCAGAGAAGCGTGGGGGAAAAGGCAGCCAGAAAGATGGGATGGAAAAGAGGAGATCCAGGAGGGAAACTCAGCCCTTCACCTTCACAGTGCCCTGAAGGACAGGGCTGTGTGACCCCCAAGGCCCCCTGGTTGCTGGGATCTGGGATTTCATTTCTTTCAATAGTTACAATTCCATTTAATTTCCTTCAGTCATTTCAATAATTCACAATTATTCTCAATAATTACCTCCCTGACGCCGTTGAGGCAGGATGGATGAAAGAACTCAGATTCAGAAGGCTTGAGAGTAAATTTATTTTATTCCATAAAATAAAATTATTTTATTTTATTATTTATTATATTATTATTTTATTCCATAAAATAAAATTATTTTATCCCAAATACATCTCTCTTTTATAGAGAGCATTGTCCAGACCGATTCAATTGGTCCCAGAGTAAAAACATTTCTCACCATTGGTGTGCAGTGAATGATGCTCAGTGGAAGAACTTATCTATAAACAATGTGAACAACAAGAGAGATAAAGAATTATTTACATTCCTTCCCAACTGTTTCCCAGGCTCCTGAAGGGTGATTTGCTTTTCCTCTCTGCTTTTCCAGGTCCTCGATGCTGCTGAGGGCGTTCTATGTCCCCCTGCTGTCGGAGCAGCACACTCACTACGCCAACTACACCATCCTGAAATCCCGCAGGAGGCAAGCCAGGAGGAAAATGGGGGGCTAGGGACACCCCTGGGCCAAAAAAACCACCCAAAACATCTGCTGGTACTCTTGGACAGCCCCCCCGAGCCACGTGCAGCTCCCTGTGTGAAGGATGGAGCAGGGAGGATTCCCCCAGGAGCTCTGGAAGCTTCTGCTCCTCTGCCTGAAGCCATTGGGACATCCAGCAGCTGCCTATGGATGGGTTATCCCCGCTGCTCCCTGTGTTCCCTCTTACACCAGAGAAGAGAAAAAAAATGGAAAATAAAACAACCAGGTTCTGCTCCAGGCTGCAAATCTGGGAAAATCCAGCTCAAATTCTCTCTGTCTCTCCCCCACCCACCCCTCTGCTGTCCTCAGCTGCTGTCTTTCACCCAGGGATTATTTTTTTTTTCAGGTAACAAAGCTTAGGAATTATCCTTTTCCAAAGGGAAAAGGAGGAAAAACACCTGACTGACAATGAACTGGAATGCACTGAACCTCAAGGAATGAAACATCGTGCACCACAGAGGAGCAGCCAAAGCTGCTCTGTCCAGGAGACATTTCCAGGGATAAACCTGTGCTTTTGGGAAGAAAAAACCAAACTGGGACAATTATGTGTTTAATGGGATCAGTGTTCGTGTTGTCTGTGAAGCCAAGTGTTTGTTTGCTGTTTATAATGATTTTTTTCATGATCCTTTGAATTCTAGACTTCGGGATCTTAAAAATTCTGGAATCATCCAGGGAGGAGAAGGATTAATCCTTTTTTTTTTTTGCAGTTCTGTTTCCCAGAATAGGCAGGATGTGTTACGTGGGTCCAGCATGCCTCAGAGCAGTGCTGCGCTTGTTAAATTTCCATTTTTAAACATGCAGCATCACCAGCTGGATGGAGGGGGCTGTTTTCACTCACATCCCTGGAATTCTGGGATGGGATGGAGCAGAGGGGATGTTCTGTGGCTGTGGTTGGGTTGGTCTGAGCAGGGGGACTGGGGAACAGATTTGGATGTTTGGGATCCAGAAAAGCTCTGGGGATCCATCTGTTGGTTCAGGTGGTGGGTGCAGAGCTCAGCAGGGTGGGAAGGCTGTGATCCAACCTGATCCTGCTGGGACAGAGCAGGAGGAGCTGGATGAGCAGCAAGGCTGGGCTGAATCACAGCACCAACCTCAGAAACAGGTTCTGAGTCCCATTAAGGGTTTTTTAATGTTTGTGCTCCAACCAGTGCCCTGCCTGGAGCCTGGATGGTCACGCCATGGAGAATGCCATTGTTCCCCCTCCCTGGGGCAGCAATTGGAAGCTGGGGCTCTAAATCCAGATTTAGGCTGTGTCTAAGTCGTGCCATCCTTGGGGAAATGCCAATCTCACCTTCCCAAGGGCAGCTGTGGAGCTCTGAGGTGTCCATGGGTGGGCAGAGCTGCACTGGGGTTCTGTGTCTGTGTTCATCATCCCCCCCTGCCAGCTCTGCCCCCTCTAAAGTTCACACCCGGCTCTCTGCTGCTAAATCCAAACCAGAACTCGTGCCCTGCTCCTTGCCTCTGCCCTTGCTAACCCCTGACCTGCAGCTGCGGCTGCAGCAGGGATTGCAGCAGCTCTGGTGCTGCAATCTGCTGGGACTGTCCTGTCCCAGCCCTCAGCTCGTGTTTGGTGTGAGCACAGTGCAGTAAACACCCCTTGGAAACCACGGTGGCTGCTCCACCTTTCTTTCCACTCGGATTCCTCTTCTGGAGTGGTGGTTGGGAGATGATAACTTGGCAATAATTAGGAGCTATCAACGTTTTCCAGGGGAATACAGCAGGAGTTTGTTCCTGGGAGTAAACAGGGGCAGTGCTTGGAAACCCAGGGCTGTGCTTGTCCTTGCCTGGAGAGGCAGGTCATTGAGAAGGATTAGGGGCAATCCTTACTCACTTTTTTGGGAGCAGTAATTTGTGAGAGAAATGGGTGGTCTGACTTGTCCATTTTGTGAAAATCAGGAGAACAAGGCAGAACAAACCACAGCACCTTTTTATTTTCCTTTTTTCCATCCTCACTGCGCTGCAACACCGCGAATTCTGCTGGGGTGGTGAATTACTGGGTGAGTGTTAAACATGCCAGATCAAACAAGCTGCAAACACCTTTTCACAGGAAGGGTGACACTTCTCTGTGTCCCACCCAGCTGCTCTGGGCTCCTGTGGTTGTCTCACAGTCCTTGTGGCGTTGATGTAACCCTTGTCCAGCCTGGAGGGAGCAGAGAGGAATTCTGTGTTGAAATGAGCTGGCTGGAAAGGCTCTGAGCGAGGAGCAGGGTGGGGATCCATGTGTTGGTTCCTGAAATTCTCCCTGAAATTCTCCAGCCTCAGAACAGCCTGTCCAGGTGCTGCCAGCCCAGCCCTGTTCTCTCCCTTGCACAAAGTCTGGGCTGGTTTGACCTTTCCTGTTTTTCATCCTCCCCTGGGGAAGCTCCAGCACTCAGAGTCAGCAAGAAGCAGCCCCAGGGCCTCTGGATGTGGGCTTGGAGGTGGATTGGCACTGCCAGCTCTGGGTTGGGATCTGCCTGGTGGTCCAGGCCTGGCACAGTTGTGCTTTCACCTTGATTTTGGGGACAGATGGCTTTTCCACATCTCTGGCAGCCTCTGCAGCGGGTGCAGCCCTTCCCTGCCTCTCCCAGGGGCTCCTGGTGCTCAGGAGGGAGAATCCAGGGGGTCACACAAGGAGAGCAATTCCCAGCTCCTTCCCTTCCCAGCTCTGGGGACAGGAGCTCAGTGCAGCTCTGCCTGAATCACACCATAACCAAGCCCAAACCCTATTATTAGACTCTGGAAACTGCTGCCTTAGAGACAGGTTTGCTTATAAATACCCATGATTTTCTCTCTGCCTCTCCAAAGCTGGCAAGGAAAAGGGATTTCTGCTTGGCCAGAACCTGCCTGCCCTGCTGTTGGAGCTTCTCCCCACATCAGCTCGTCCTTCCAGCCCCCCAAATTCCAGCTGTGGGGCAGCAGGGTGGCAAATCCCATCTGTTTCTGTGATCCTTCAGCCCTCCCTGCCCCTGCCCTGCCTCCTCTGCAGGCTGTGGTCGGTGCTGGCTGCGATTTTTGGTCCTTGTCCCTCCTTTCCAGCCGGGTTTGACCCCACTCCTGGCCGGGAAAAGCTGCTCCAGTTCTTCCTCGGGCTCCCGGGAGAGGGCACCGTGCTCCAGAGAACCGGGACGAGCTCCAGAGAACCGGGATGAGAACCCCAGGCATGGGCTGAGGAGCCGGGGCTTTTGCTGCAGCTGAAATTTGGGGGTTCAGGAGGGAAGGCGCCGCCCTGAAGGAGATGCTGCTGACTGTTCTCCCTCCTGCAGCCTCAATGACCTGTCCCTGTTGCTGTGACAGCCCTGGGGTTCAGTTTCACGTGTTCCAGGTGGTTTTGCAGGTGTTCAAACCATTTTTCAGGCATTCCTGGTGGTTTCCATGGCTGGAGAGGGAGAACCTCCCTTCCTTTATGTCCCTGGGCTGTGATGGACAATCCCTGCCTAATTGGGATTATTTGTGGATCTCATTTTCTCCAGAGAGCTGAAATGTATTGACAGATAATCCATTCTGCATGGAGAACTCATGGTTAATTGCTTCCCCTCAGTTGGGCTCCCTGGGCTCTGTCTCACAGTTTGCTAACAAACATTTTCAATCCTGGAAGCCCAAAGGAAAAACTTGTGGGAGCTGCTTGGAAACCCAGGGCTGTGCTTGTCCTTGCCTGGAGAGGGGGATCATTGAGAAGGATGAGGGGAAATCCTTACACACTTTTTTGGGCCCAAAAAGGTGAGAGGGAGAGTAATTTATGAGAGAAATGGGTGGTCTGACTTGCCCACTTTGTGAAACTCAGGAGAACAAGGCAGAAAAAACCACAGGACCTTTTTATTTTCCTTTTTTATTTTTCCATCATAAAAACTCGCTGGGATTTTGGCTGCAGTGTGAAAATGGTTTTCAGGCAGGAAGGTATTTTAAATGTTTAAACAAAAGGGAAAGAGAAGATTTGAGGGAGCTCACCCACAGTGCCAGGGTTAACGGGGCTGCCTCTGAAACGTCACCTGGGGTCTGATGTGCCTCTGGTGCATGAATGATTTACAGGAACAGCAGCTCGGGCTGGGCCTGTCAGATGATGCAGAGCTGTGTTCCAGCCCCCAGAATCTGCTTTTCCCCTCAGCTGCCCGGCAGCCCCCAGGCAGGGCCCTCCTGTTACAGCAGGAGTGCACGGGCAGGGGGGGACCTGGGCATTTTTTGCAGCTCTGTGTGACCAGAGAACAGCTGGAGCTGTGTCAGGGGAAGTTTAAGTTTGGTATCAGGACGATATTCTTCCCCCAGAGGGTGTTGGTCACATTCCCCAGGCTGCCAGAGCTCCAGGAGCATTTGGACACCGCTCTTGGGGACACACAGGGTGGGATTTTGGGGTGTCTGTGCCACACCAGCAGCTGGACTCCACAATCCCTCTGGGTCCCTTCCATTCAGGATATCCCATGATCTATTTTTCTTGCTGGTGAGTTCACAGATGTGTTTCTGTGGACTCTGCACCTCCCAGAGGGGTGATGAAAACTGTTGATGTGTTTTTGTGCTCTGTTCTTCACGCCCTAAATAGCTCTGGCCAGTTCTGCTCAGCTGGCTGGAGTGCTGATGGTGCTCGGACAGCAAATTCTGCCGAGGGGAGCTGCAGGCAAAGGCTGATTCCTGCAGCCTCTGGGGAGGACTCCTTGATAAAAGGAGCAGGGAGGGTCCAGCATCTCCCCGGGAGGAGCTGGGCTTGGTTTCCTGCTCTGCTGGAGCACTCTGTGCTCCTGGTGCTCCGTTCTGCCTCCAGGGCTGTGCAGAGCCCATTTCCCTGCCATGGGAATTCCCTGGCTGTTCTCAGCTCCTCTCTGGGGACTGCAGGCAGCCTCTGGAATTCTTCTGCCCGTCCACAGAACCACTGTGCTGATCAATCATCCAGTACCACCTTCCAGAAATATTTGCTGAGGGATTTCCTCGTGCTTCGTGTTCTTGTGGCTTGGGGAGGGCTCCTCCTCTGGAGCACCAAAAAGGAGGACGAGCTGCCTTTTCCCCCTGAACCAGTCAATATTTACTCTCCCAGGCAAGCTGTTAAAATGCTGCTGCTCTCTTGGTGTTGGTGCTTGTTCCTCCTGCCTCGCTGGAATCTTGCCTCAGCGTCTCCCACACTTTGGTTTTTGCAGCAGTGACATGTGGGTGTTCTGGGGACAAGGCTGGGGGAACCTCCCAGGGGCTGCCAGGTCATCTTTGCACCCCCTCCCCTGAGACTGGGGGTGCTCCAGCCCAGCCACCCCAAGGAAGGCTGGAGATGGGGAAGGGAAAGCCACGGGATCATTTATTCAGCCCCAAGGTGAAATCTTGAGAGGAAGCAGCAGGATCATTTATTCAACCCCAAGGTGAAATCCTGCTTCCACAAAAATCCAGGGGGGAAGGTAACAAGGATGTGTCCAGCAGGTTTTTTAGGAGACCTGATAAACTTTGCCAGAGCCCTGTCCAAGAGGATTTTTGGTATGTGCACCACTTGTGTGCAACGTTACCTGGAGCTTTGCCACTGCAAGTCCTTGGTCTCTTTATTTTCAATTACTGAAACACTTTATTTCCCTATTTCTGCAATTCCTATGAGCCCCAAGAATTGCCCTGCCTTTCAGCTCAGCGTTGCCTTTCTGCTTCTCTAACAAGTGGCTTGAAGATCCTCCCTGGCAAAGATCTTCCCTGGCAGACTGATTTGTTAAAGTTGTTTGGCTCCAGCAGGAAACTTTTCTCCTCTGCTGGTAGGGGAAGGCAGCCTGGTCCTTAATTGCTTTCTGCAGCTTGGCCAAGTGAAATCCATCTCTGTGCCCTCAGAGATGGAGCCAAAAAAAAAAAATAAATATCCCCAATGGTCCCTTGTGCTGTGGGGTGAGCGTGGTTCCAAGCCTGTCTCTCCTGGATTTATAACCTCTGGAGGAGGAAGATTTAAAGTTCTGGTGTGCAGGAGGGCTCCACATTGGTTTTGAAGGTGATTTGCACCAGTTTATCTTTGTTAATTCTGCCTCAGAAAGGAGAAATTATTGTTAAAAAAGGTGTTTATTTTACCTGTTGGCACCAGCTGGATTCATCTCTCCTGTTGGGAATTATTTGGTCAATTCATCAATTTTCATCTGGTTGGTTTCTGCTCTGCCCTTTGCACTTTCAGCTATTTTGAGGGATTTATTCAAAACCCCAGTTTCATCATTTCTTACCCCTGGCTGGTGCAGTCAAAAGTAAGGGTGGGGAGTGGGGAGGATAAATCCTGGAATCTGGGTGGGAAACCGTGGAAACTTTTCAGTCATTATTTAAACCTTTGCAGGGCAGGAAGAGGAATAAAGCCCCAAAGGCAGGTTGTTGTTTGGCCTTTCCAGTGGGAACAGGAATAGGTTTCATTTCCCTAAACCTCTCAGGTTAAATCCCAGATTGGTCTGAGCTGGAATAACATGATGAGGACCTTTCTAACTAAAAGAGGGGAAGTTTAGGTTGGATATTGTGAAGAAATCCTGTGAGGGTGTCCAGCTTTCCTGAAGGAAAACTCTTGGTTGCTTCCATCCCTTTGACCCATGGTCATTTTCAAAGCTTGAGTAGAATTTTTCAGGTGCTTCCAGCTTGACTTGCTGTGTGATTAATGAGCAATTACGAGCAGATATAAATAACAGCGGATTGAAGAAGCGTGTATGGATGCTATAATTAAAAGCTCTATTACAATATTTATTCCTGTTTAATGATAGATGGCAAAGGTTGCTCTGTAATTCTGTAGGACTTGAGTGATCTTCCCGGGGAGGGAGCAGCTCCTCTGTTTAATTGCAGCAGTGTTTAGGGGGTAAAACCCTGTGGGATCTGGCCAGGATTTCATGGTGCTTCCCTTCTGTAGGGACACTGGGTGTCTTCCCAAAAAGAATGCCCCAAAACAGGGCAGAATGGAGCCTTGTCCTCACACTGGTGAGAAAAATCTGATTTTTCCCAGTTACATTTTAACCCCACTCACATGAAAGGTTTGGATATTTTTTTTGGTTATAAAATAGGAACTTTTGCATCTTTTTTTAAGAGAAAAAAAACACTTAATGGAGGATTTGTACCCTGCTGTGTCCAGAATCACTCCTGATGCAGCAAAACTTTGGCCTCGCCTGCCTTGTGCCCAAAACTGAGGGGAGAGGGGCACCCCTGGCTCCAAACCAGCAGCTGCCTCTGCTCTTAGGAAATGTTTTGGCCATTTCTGTCTGGATACAGCCCAAAATCAGCCCTCACACGCTGCCTTCACCCCAAAACCCACCGTGTGTTCTGCGAAACCCACATCCCCTGTGGGTTTGGGAAGGCCTTTAGTGCCTGCGAGGGAAACATCTGGATTATTTCCTATTTTCTGCACCAGGCATCACTCTGAGGGATTGTCCCCAAAACCTGGGGGTGGGTGGTGATAAAAAAGTGCTTTTTAGGTGTCACTTTCTCCCTTCCCAGAGCTCTCCCTTGTGCTCAGGCCGTGGCAGCCCCATGGCAGCATTTCCTGCACATTTTGCACATGGCAAGGAGGAGCCAGGTTTATTTTTAGGCAGTTTACAAATAATTCTTTTGGAGAAAAAAAACCCCCAAAAAACCCCCAAAAAACCAATCAACACTGCAATTGTGGCTTCTAAGAACCGTTGATAGAAAAAAAAAATTAAATCAGCCTGTTTAAAAGCTGGTATTCTGGGACAAATCCCCCAGGGAAAGGGAAAAATGTGGCTGTGTCGTGCCAGGGTTCCAGGCAACGTGTTCAAAATAAACCAGAAATGCCAGGGTTTTGCTTCCACTTTGCTCTTCTTACCCAGCCTCCAGTTCTGAGTCAGGGGTGAGACAGGCACGAGCTGCTTCTGAACCCTTGTTTTTCCTGCTGGGGCTCTGTGTTTATCTTGATTAAATTGTGTAATCAGTGCAGGTCAGGATGGAATTCTTGGGGCTTCTTGGGGCTCAGGGAGCAGAGTGACTTTCCTGACGGGGATTTTGGAAAGCCTTCCCCTAAAATTCCTGTTGTTTTAACTGCTGAAATGAAGTGAATGCCACTCAGAGTATTTGCTTTTCAAGCCCATCCTGCCCTGTGGAATATGCAATGCACCAGTTGTCATAATTGTCAATATTTAGGATAAATTTGGTCAAAGAACTGAGAAACAGCTGCTCTTCATAAAGCTGTGATAATTTCAAATAAACATTAAGGAAAGGTGAAGTGTTTGGGGGCCAGGAGTATCTTTGGAGCCAGAGGTGAAGGGTAAGGGCTGGTTCCAGAGGGAACTCAAGGTTTTGCTGATTTTTAACAGGAGCTTGGCACAGCTGGGATCTGTGTCTGTTGGCCAAGGGTGATTTGGGGCTGGAAATGGGGAATTGTGGTGGCTGTGGTGGGGGGCAATGGGGCAGTGAGGTCTGGGGCCCTTTTTGTGGGGTTTAGAGCAGAACATGCCCCTCTCAGTGGCTGGTTTGTAACTCAGCCTCTAGGCAATCCCTGCTGGACCAGAGCTGCTGGATTTTCAGGGCTTTGTGTGTGTTTTTGTGGTGGTTTTTTGACCTTGGCTGGTGGATCCCTCAGCAGGGCACCAGTTTCCTTTTCCACCAGCACCTGTGAGAGTTCTGTGACCAAAACCGAGGGGAAGGGGAAGGATTAAAGCCCTTCAGAACCTTTCTGAGCTGAATTACCTGAAATTTGGGATGGCCCAGCCAGATGTGTTGGCATGACAACGGCTCCAAGGAAACGCTGCTGGGAGCGGGGAGCCGCAGCCCTGCCCTGCTGGCAGGCCCTGATTAGTGGGAATAATTAATTATCCCTCCACCAGCCCCTCCGTGCAGGGCTAACGAGGCTCGGCTGGTAATTTGCTGCCTTAATGATGATGTTCTCCCGCTTTGGCTCGCAGGGATGGGGGAGTTTAAAGCCACTTTTTCTGCGGGTTTGTTCCACTCTTCACCCTGCACAGGATTGGGAGTCCCGGGGAAAGGGAATTCCTGAGCTAAATTGTGCCTGAATTCAGTGTACACAGCTCTGCTGTTGAGCTGGTCTGGAAAATCCAAAAAGAGCCTTAAAATTGTGCCTGAATTCAGTGCCACTGGATTCAGACTAAATCCCCCTGCTCGGAGAGCAGCACGCCCAGTTTGATGGGGAAGCTGGGAACTGCTGAGCTCTCATTTTCCACCTCCAGGAGGTTTTCTGAATGGAGGACTGTGCCTTTATAGGTATTTCGAGTTCCTCACCTGCCTTTTCTGGGTGCTGCTGTTTTGTTCTGGTTTGCTGAAGGACAGGACTCAGCTCCTGCAGGGTCCTTTGCCATGAAAATGAGCTTTTTGTGCAGCTGAAGCTCCTGATTCCCCAGACCAGGAGCTTCTCCAAGTGACCAAGATGCCAATTGTTAATTTTGAACAGAACAGCCTGCCCTGGAATAGGGGAAGGAACAGGAAAATGATGCTTTTTCTCCCTTCTGAGGGGTTTTGCTCTGTGTAATCCGTGTATGACACTTGAGCTGAGCTTTCAAAGAGACAGAGAAGCTGAAGATATTTATTTTTGTAGCAATATATATTCTATACCATTTTGGTGGGGGTTGGTGGTCCTGGAGAACGCTGCCTTGCTCTGATGAAGCGTTTTCCATGGAAACAGCCCCTGTTCCTCCCAGGTGATTCAGCCCCGGTATAATTTCCCCCATTGACGTCTGCACTGCTCCCTCCCAGCTCTGCTCTCCAGCAGGGAGTTCTGAGCTCCCAGAATGTGCCTGGGCTTGGCAGGGCACTCTCAGCTCTGTCAGTGTCCATTTGGGGGTATTTTGGGAGCAAACCTTCCATTAGTTCCCTGTGTGTGAGTGGTTCTGCTGCTGCTCTGCAAAGCAACCCCACACGGATCCTTATTAAAACACCGCCGCCTTTATTTGCTGGTAAGTCACCCCAGCAGGGGCTGTTACATAAAACCACATCATGGCATTTCCCTGGCAGGAAATCACCACATTTAGGGAGCTTTTTGAGCAGAGAGATCTCTCCTGAAAGCCCCATTTTGAAACTCAGGAAACACTGAGTGACAGCTCTGGGGACAAGGGCGCTTTCCTGGGAGGGACGGTGGGTTGGAAACCCTGGGAAAATGGGCAGACAGAATTTAAAAAATAAGATAAAAGGAGGATAAAACCTGCTGGAGCCTTGTGCCCACATTCCTGAGCATGTTGCCATGGGGTGGGTGTGCTCCTTTTGGGATTGCCTGTGCTGGGATGATTCCTTAGGGCAAACCCATGGTGTCCCCACGGTGGTCCTGGGGTCAGGGGGAAGTGTGGGGTTCGGATGTGCCTCTTGGGGCTGTCAGGCTTCAGCTTCTCTCCTCAGTCTTTACCCCCCACCCACTTTATTTCACCCCCAGGGTTAACTCTTGTCCCCTTTGGGGATCCTAACAGCAGGCACAGATTTTCTGTGGTTATTAAATTATCAGCACTGGATGGAATTCCCTGCTGCTGGAGCTCCAGGTTAAGATTTTTCATCAGGGACCATTTCTTTTAAATTAGAGGATGCTCTTCTTTGGTTTCAGTTTCCACTCAATCTTGTGGTTTTACACTCGGATTAACCTCAAATTTCTTTCTTTGCCTGCGTGTCTGGGCTCTTCCACAATTTACTTTTTGTTCTGCTAATTTTTAACCACTGAGAATCAGGATAACCTGTCCAAAATCAGATTAATATCGGGTTTAGTCCACACAGAGCCTATTCCTTTAGCCTTGCAAACCTCAGTCAGTGGCACTGAGTTATTCTCTGTACCTCGAGGTGCAAGCAACAGAATCCTCAAAGCACTGGGTGCAGAAACATTTCCTTTATTTCTCTATTCATTTCCCGATTCTTATCCCTTTGAGGGTTTGCCTCAAATTCACAGCTGATGCCCTATGGGAGTCACCCAATTAAAAGTTTTTTTTCATCACATTTCAAATGAGCTCTTTGCCATCTGACCTCCCCTCCAATGCAATATTCCCATCAGAAAAGCACCTGAATCAGCAAAACCCTCTGGTGGCTGAACTTGCAGTTCTTTCCCCACAGTGACCTGCTTGGCCATGTTCCCATCAGGGTCAGGGTTGCAGAATTTGTGCCTCATTTTCCAGTCCTGCACTTTGTCCAGCAGTGGAGGGAGAAAGGGAGGAGAGGAGAATTAATTCCTGCTGTAATTTTATAGTCAATCTGACATATCCCTCAGTTTCAGGATTGTCCAAGCCAGCTGAGCTGTGTGCACTGAATTCAGGCACAATTTTAAAAGGTTCTTTTTGGATTTTCCAGACCAGCTCAGCAGCAGAGCTGAGGACACTGAAATGAGACATAGTTTTAAGGCTTTCCTTGGATTTTCCAGACCAGCTCAGCAGAAGAGCTGTGTGTACTGAATTCAGGCACAATTTTAAGTCTCTCTTTAGATTTCCCATTCCTGCTCAGCAGCAGAGCTGTGTACACTGAATTCAGGTACAATTTTAAGGTTCTTTTTGGATTTTCCAAGCCTGCTCAGCAGCAGAGCTGTGTGCACTGAATTCAGGTACAATTTTAAGGTTCTTTTTGGATTTTCCAGACCAGCTCAGCAGCAGAGCTGCGTGCACTGAATTCAGGCACAATTTTAAGGCTCTTTTTGGATTTTCCAGGGCTGTTCCCTGCACTGTCACCCTGCTGTGACCCTGTGTGCTGGTGCCCTGCTGCTGATCCCTGTGCCAGGGACTCACCCTGTGAGGGGTTTGTGGTGTTTTTTATCCCCATGTCCTGTTTTTTGGGATAGCTGACTGTCAGTCCCTGTGTGTGCAGGCCCTGTGAGGGGTTTATGGTGTTTTTTATCCCCATGTCCTGTTTTTGGGGACAGTTCAGTGTCAGTCCATCTATTCAGCCCCTCTGAGGGACTTTGTGGTGTTTACCCTGTCCCTGTTTATGGGGGTTTGTGGTGTTTTTTGTCCCCATGTCCTGTTTTTTGGGACAGGTGACTGTCAGTCCCTGTGTGTGCAGGCCCTGTGAGGGGTTTGTGGTGGTTTTTGTCCCCATGTCCTGTTTTTGGGGCCAGTTCAGTGTCAGTCCCTGTGTGTGCAGGCCCTGTGAGGGGTTTGTGGCGTTTCCCTGTCCCCATGTCACAGGAATGTCACTAATGATGTTAAAACAAGAGCTGCTGAGGATCTTTCCACTGGTTTTTGGTCTCATTTTAATTAATTTTAAACGAGCCTTCTATTAATGAAAGTGCAAAGTGCTGTGCCAATCCTGTGGCACCAAGTTGTCTTTCCAAATTCATATTTGGCAAAAATCAGTGGTACCAACAACCCCAAGCGTGTCAGAACCATGGTCTAGAAAATGGTCTAGAAAATGCAGTGTTTGCAGCAGACATAATTTTTTTTTGAAACCTCAGAGAGAAAATGACTTGAGCCTAATGAAGACAAGAGTGGCAGGCGCTGCTTTAGCTCACTAGAAATTTAAAAAATGAAATGCACATATTCTTTATTGTGTATTAATACACTGTAACTGCTTTACAGAGTCCAGCAGATCAGTTGCATGTAAATACTACAGATGAACTTGCCCAACTGGAGCTCACAAAACTAGTGCATTTATCCCAAAGCAGAGACTAAGCCCTCTAAATCCTTAAAAAAATACATTAAAGAACATACCACACACACACATATTGCACTTTTCTCCGTATGAAATTTGTACCCCATATACATCACACCAAAGTCTCTTCAAAGGAGGCTGTAGTACAAGATAATAAAGCTAATAATTACTCTAACAGTAGTGTACACAGTTCTCTAATGTTAGAACAGAAGAGATTGGAACAAAAAAGCCACTTCAAAGGAGTAGAAAGTGGTGCCCAATGGATCCTCTCTGTATGAGAAGGCTTCAGAAGCCTTTTAGTCCTAATTGGCTTAAAGGAAATTACACGAAATGTTAAATACGCTTTTGGCTGAGGGGAAAGAGTCAGTCTAAACTACATTAAAAAATACTGCAGCTTCCCCCTGCCCAGCACTGCAAAGCTCAGAGGAGCTCACACGGGTTGGCACATCCTGATAAATGAACTGCAGAACTCCAGAACGGAATTATTTTTATCTTTTGAGTCCTGAAACGTGCAGGATCCTGGAGCTGGATGGGGAAGGAAGTGGTTATTGTTCTGGCAGTCACCCAGCTCCTGGAGCAGCACTGGGGCTGTCTCCGGAGTGCTGGCTGTCCTGGAAGCAGCTTTCACTGCCCAGTTCCGTGAGGCTTTGGACAGATTTC